GGTTACTTGCTGTCTTTCTTGTGTCCTGTCCGTTGGGCTGCATTGGATGGCTGAACGGTAGTTAGTCCTAGGGTTCTCGCCATCTCCCCTCCCCCAGAGGGTGGCGGGGGTCTCTGCTCCTTGGACCTCTCACCTTTCCTCGACGAGGTCCTGAAGCATCTGGCGCTGCTTGATGACCAGTGCCAATTCAGTTACATCTCACAGACATTAATGCATCACACTCATTGCTCATGATCGTTCTTGTTCTCTAGTCGTGTTTGTATGGCTCGTTACTTCAGATGCCAGTGCCAGTGAAGCGTGCTTCCAGAAGGAAAATACCCAGTAACCAGCCTTTTCCTGCTGGGCCCTCTTTGCCTTCGCCCCACCCCCACTTCTTTACGCTCCATTCTTTTAGGCTTTTTTTTTTTTTTTCCCCCCCTGGAAATATTTATTTTTTAAAACGAAATATTGCACCAGTGGGGCGAAATGGGATCTTAAAAAAAAAAAATCCAGATGTTTTAGAGGGAAATAGATGGAATGAATATATGAGAAATTGGAAAAACCATTTGGAACTTCCTACAGAACTGTAATTTTAAAAACTAGGTTGGTGGGTTTAGTAGTTTCAACTTGCAAACACGTATTCAATATACACTGAAACACCTTCCACTGTAAAAATTCGGGTTACTCTTAATTTATATATTAACTGAGGTGTGCGCTTTGACATCTTGGAAACATGCTGGTTTGTGATTTCAACATAGTTTCCTGAATTTCAAACTGTTGTTGTGTAGTGTGTGGTGGTTTCCTTTTTTTTCCCCCCTGAGCCAGCTTTTGCACTTTGTGTGACTAAATTGGCAGCTATATCCTATTCTAGAAGCGATTATACTTCAGAGGTTACCTTACCTTGTGTTGTTTGCAGAAGAACTAGCTGGGATCCTTGGATAGAAGTTCAGGGAGGCAGATTTTCATGCTAAGGAAGAACTTTGTAACAGTTGGGTGGACTGCCTTGCAAAATAGTGAGTGCTCATTTTGGAAAGGTTCAAACAAAAGGCTGGAGGTCCTTTGGCCTAGGAGACGGTGTAAGGGCTCTAACTCTTAAGATTGTGTGATTTTTAGAATAACTGCACTTGAAAGCTAGTAAAGTACTTGATGGTCTTCTGAAGACAAGTATCATAAGATTGGAAATTTAATATGTTAATCTTATATGTGGTACTTGATGCTAGTTTTTGGAAAGTCATTAACATACCATCAGACCAGCTTAATTCACTCTCCTTGTAAACCTTTTGAGGATAGTGGTTACCAGGCCTGATTTTGGCTGAGAGAGCAACTGAAGGTTAGTTGAGTCGAGCAAGTAAGCCAGAAACCAGAATTATATTGACATGGTTTTCCTTGGGCATTGTTGAAAACAATTGATGCTGTAATAATAATATATGTATATCATGTTATTATACTTATTTTCTTGAGGTGAATGATTAGTATACAGTAATACCATATGTATTTGATATAACTTCGTTAGCCAACACTTGCTTATTTTAGAATCCTGAGGTATGTTAATAGGCACTTTGATATAGGTAATTAAATTGATCATGGATAAGCTCAGTTCTTGAGCTAAATGACTGATATTTCTACATCTACTTGCTATAGTAGCCTGATTATTTCATTTTATATATAACCCTGGGAGAAAAGGAATCCTGGTACCGGGGTGTGTATGTGTGTGTGTGAAACAGTCAGTGTTGTCAGCGTAACTATGAGCAGTTACCTTTCCCTTTAAGTTGTCTTCCTATTCCACTTCACCCAGAGCTTTTTCAGCTGAGTTTTGCCATGGTGCTTGTATTCCAGTATTCGACTGCTGTCTGACTTGGATATTTTTGCTGTTGTGTCTCTTGCTGCATGGAAAAGTTGAGTTGTTTGTTTTAAGAGAGAGCAGAAACAATCTACAGAACCATGAAAGGAGAGATTTAATTTTGTGAGACTGGAGATTTAGATGTTCTTATCATTTTAAGCATTCTGTTACGGTGTTTCACTATAGGAGGTAAGACATTTTAATACTGTCTGCTCTTCAGTGTTTTTTCTTTAGGGATTAAACAAATCTATTGATCATCTACTGGGTGTGAATGACTATTATAGTAGTAAGATGTGTAAGATATTGACCCTGTTCTTCAGGGTCATGTAATCTTGGGAGGGAGGTGGAGAGGGAAGGCATAGAGACACTAGAGGAGGGGCAAGAATGAGATGAGAGTAGAAAAGGAGTGTGAGGGGAATGAAACTAAATGTATAGCAACAGCCAGTTTGTAAATGGCCATAAGTATTGTATGAATTCAAATTAAGGTAAATTCACTAGTGGCAATAGTAGTGAAACCAGTCTCTAACATGTAACTACCTTACATAGATTATTTACTCTTCACAGCATGCTCAAGGGAAATTTCTTTTATCCCCATCTTACTGATAAAACTGAGGCAAAGAGCTATTAAGGAATGTACCCAGTGACACTCAGCTGTTGAAAATGTAATTCAAACCCAGATGTGTCTAACTTTAGAGTCTTCCATCTTTTTCCTTCTTGAGAATCAAAGAGAAATATAACATAGTTAGGTGACTCTTGAACTAGGCCTTGAAGGGGAGGTTGAATGTTTGTAGACTGAGATAGAAGCTGGGGAGTAGAAAGTGTTCCAGGTGGAGAGAAGCTGTATACATCAAGACTCAGCAACGGAAACATACAAGGCATATCTGAGGAGATTTAAATAGAGCAGTTTGAGGAAGGATTTGTTTGGAAGAGTGGTAATAGATAAAGCTGAGGAGGCAGCTAGGGCTGCAAAGGGACTGCTGAGTTTAGGAATCTGAACTTGACAGAGGTGGTTATAAAGAGTCCTTAGAGGTTTTGAGCAAATACGATCACAGTAGTGTTTTAAGAAAACTGATCCACCAGCTATGGGCCAGGGGAGTTGAGAGAGGGAGAAAAGGCATGAGTAGAGCCTGTTAGAGGCTGTTACGGTGGCCTAGGTGTGAATAGTAAAGGCTTGAACTGGGAATGGGAAAGAGAAGGACAAATGCAAGGGACTGTAGAAAAGACACACAGAACCTGGGGCTTATTGGATATCGGGGAGGAGGGATCAGAGCTGCCAACTCTTGGAATATATTGTTCTTCCCAGATAATAGATGGTTTTAATTAATTGAAGCAATTTAAGAATGATCACTTACCTTCTATCTTTCTGGTATGAATTTTCTGAACAGATATCTATATTGACCCAGGGTTATATAAACACAGTGAAATACCATAAAAATCTTTTGCTTTTGTATAGTGCTATATACTTTTCAGCATGTTTTGTGTTCATGGTCCGATTTGATTCTAGAATAGCCTCAGAAGTTACACAGGACAGATATCAATGTTAAAAGGTTTACTGAAGATGACAAAACTGGTTGGGATAAGATCTAGCACTAGAACCAAGTTCCATGGCTCCTGGTTCATATCTCTTTCCATGGTGTAGTAAGACAAACAACATATTGGTTTCTGGTCCTGAGAACTTGACTGCCAGTAAAGAAATCAAGACTTGAGATGCAATTAAGAACTCACACTGTCTTTTGAGTTCATTTATGTATTGTCTGTTTTGACTGTCTAGAACAGAATCATCCAAGTCTGTACAAATCATTTTTTGGTGATACCGTTATTTGAAGCCTGTTCTCTCTTAGTTTACACAGAAATCTCATAAACTTGAATATTTAGTTTCTATACTCTTAGAAGATTACCAGCAGCAAAATATGAATGGAAAAAGTCAGGTGCTGCTAAAGGCAGGCTCCTTATAGTTCTGGAAAATGATAGTTGATGTTTTTACAGCAAGGGCAGAGGAAGAAAACCTATAAATAGCTGACCCAAGGAAACAATTTAGCAGTTAGGGACTACTTAATGTAAGGATAAGTATATTTTTCTAAGACCCAGTACTCCTTTAGAGCAGCTATTATATAGTTATAACGATGACCCCAAATCTTTATAAGAAAGCTTAATCTTATTTTGTCTTGGTTTAAGCAGTCAGAATTGAGTAAAGTGTGTTTGTAGATAGAGACCCATCCAAGTTTCACCAAAGTCTTGATGTTTAAGATGCACATTTTAATTAGGAAATTCATCTATCTATATATATACAAATGGGGATGTGGGATAAGTAGATATTATTGAATTACATATATTCAAATATGACCACACCTCTCTCCCTAGGCAGAGCAAATAAAGCCATAAAATATGAAATTGACTTATATAAAATAAAAGTGATGCTTTTTAATTTTTCAAAGACAGCTTTAGAAATTTTCTTAACCTATAGAAATAATACAGGCCAACTGTAGTAAATTTGGAAAATATGGAAAAGCACAGAAAAGAGAATGAAAGATATGTGCCATACAGCTGAGCGTGTGTTTTTATATAGCTGAAGTGTTGCTGTATGTATAATTTTGTATGCTTTTTAAAAAAGTTTTATATATATCATAGGTGTATGCCAAATCACTTAAATGGCTGCATTGAGTAGTTATAACTCATTCTAACCTTTCCATTATTGATGAATATTTAGGTTTTTTCCAACCTTTAAATTACATTGCAGTGACCATCATTGTGCATAAATATTTGACAACATTTTGGAACATTTATTAAAGTTTCAAGAAATACAGTTACAGGATCTCAAAGTATAAACAATTTTATGATTCCTGTTACATATTTATACTTTCTAGGAAGGTTGTTTCCAATTAACATTTACTCCAAAACAGCATAGTGTAAGAATGCTCATTTCTCCTAGCTTTATTAACACTGCATGTGCTCATTTTATTGTTAATCATTGATAATTTTTGAGGATAAACAGTAGTACCTAGTTGGCTTGATATATATTTTATTATTAGACAAGTTGAATATTTTTGAAATGTTTATTAGGCATTTCTGTTAACTTTCTTTAGAAAGATAGCTTTATTGAAGTACAGTCTACAAGCCCTAAAATAAACCTGTTTTAATAACTGTACAATTCAGTGATTTTTAGTAAACTTCCAGAGTTATTCAACTACAGTCCTGTATTTCCATTTTATGAACTGTGCATCCTTTTCAAGCTGTGTATGCTCCTGGTACATTATGAATATTAACCCTTTATTTATTGAAACTGTTTGACTTTTAAGTGTTTGTATTGCCCTTAGAATAAAGTCTACACTCCAGAGTTTTGCTCGCAAGACTTTTAATAAGATAACCTTGCTTACCTCTTCAGCCTTGTCTCTTCCCAAGTCCCTGCCTTGCACACTGCTCAGTCAAGCTGACCTGCCATGCTCCCTTGGATCTCTAGGCTTTTGCACATGCTGTTCCCTTTACCTGGAACACCTTCCCTTCATCTGTTTACCTGACTAATTCCTACTCATCCTTCAGGTCTCAGCTTAAATGTCACTTCTTCTGGGAAGCTTCCCTGACTCCACTCCCAGACTATGGTAGGTGCTCCTTCTACATGCACCATAGCACCCTATACTTACCTGTCATGGCTCTTATCTCTTTATTGTACTTGACCGTTTGATTGCTTATCTCCCTAACTAACCTTTCAGCCAGGGACTTGGTTTATTGATATATTTTTGAATCACCAGGGTCAAAAATATTGGACTGCGGATCAATGGATGGATTGATGGATATAGTCATAGTTAGCAATTTTTTCCATTGTTTTTAAGCATTATTTTGTTTCCAGAAGCTCCCAAAATATGACTACCCTTAAGATTTTTGATACATATTGCTGTTTTAGGTTGAATCAAGCTTTGTTGACAAGCTGTGTATAAAAATGTCTGCTTCATTGTACCCTTATCAACCCTGAATGTTGTCATCATTCTTTTTGTAATCATAATAGCTCTTGTTTATTGAACATTTACTGTGTACCAAACACTGTGCTAAGTACCTTACATGCATTATATTGTTTTATATTGTTTAATTTTTTCTGGTTGCACCATGCAGCATGTGAGATCTTAATTCCCTAACCAGGGATCAAACCTATACCCTCTGCATTGGAAGCTGGAGTCTAAACCATTGGACCACTGAGGAGGGCCCCAGTTGTTTAATTTTTACATCACTCCTGTGGTGTAGGTATTATTATCTCTAATTTGCAAAGAAAATTGAATCTCAAGGAAGTAAAATGAGTAAAGTAAAACTTTGCCAAGGGTTATAGTTCTGGTGTCTGACCCCAGAACTCTCTTCACCACTAGTATTTTGTTGTTTTAAGTTACCTCTTTTTTTTTTAAATCAGAAGTTAAACATTTTTCAAATAACTTATTGTTATTTGTTTTATAGTCTCTGTTTAAGTCAGTCATGTGATTAGCCTAGCTTTCTTTGTGGATAGTTATTTTTGCTATATTGATTTGTAAATATTTTTCATATACTTATAACTTTAATCTTTTTCTGTTATGTTGCATGTTTTGCCTTGGTTTTCATTTGCCATTTTGTTTTTTATTCATTTTGATGTACAGGCATTAAGACACCTTAATACTGTCATTTCAGAGTCTTTGTGTGTTTCCATTGTTTTTCTGCTTTGTTCAATTTTCCATCAGTAGAACAGAGAAATATTCACTAGTATTTTCTTAAGTTGTTTTGTAGATTACGTTTATACTCAGTTTTACTGCATAATGTGAATACTGAATTAATTTTGTTCCAAATAGTTAACTTGTCCCAGTTCATTTTATGTAACAACCACTCCTTTTTTTCTAATTCCACCTCTGAGAAACACTGCATTAGAGTACAAGCTAGAGTGTGTTGCAGTGAAGTTCCATTGCTCGTCCCACAGGAGCTTGCTTATTATTTAATATTCATTAAATTGCATGGACAGAAAATAAACAAACTAGCTTAGATTTTAAAATTTGACTGGTTTGAAGGAAGAGCAGGCCTTTGGTACTCAAAAGGTGTCTTCAAGTCTCTTGTCCTTTCTCTCTGGCTTTAAGTGAAAGGGAGCAGATTCTAGATTATGCCCATTCTGAAAGAGGCACCGTGCAGAGCCCACACTGCCGTCCCGTGTAGCACCACTGCATGCTATGTTCCTGGTTCCAGCGGCTTAGCACTTTGCAGTTTTTCCATTAAATGCCTGCTGTCATGTTGGCTACACAGTGCCTAGCTCATAGTAGGCATTTCCATGTTCATATTTTTCATTTATTTGTTCACTCATTCAATAAACCTAGCAGTAGTAGGGAAACTACTTTAAAAAAACAAACAACCTCTCTGTCTATTGACAAGATTACCCAATCTGAAATAGGCCAGCGGTTCTGTGTACGTGGGGGGAGGCACCTCAAGGGGTCTTGTTAATCAGCAAGGAGGAAATGAGTGCTGCTTTGTGTAGGTGATGCCATCCATTCTCTTCCTCTGGTTTTCAGCACTGAATCCTTTTCAGATACACTTACAGACTGCCCTGCATTTCCTTGTGTAGCTGAGCAGCACAGCTGCTGTTCACAGTGCCCCCCGTTTTCCTGTTTGTCAGGACAAAGTCAGGTGAGGCGATCTTGGCTCCAAAATGTAGTGGAAGCTCCCATGATTCCCTAGATTTCCTGAAAGCGAAATAATTTCACTTACTTAGTGGGAGAGGATATGCTTAGAAAGAAATGGGCAGAAGTAATCTACTGTGTTACAGCCTTGATTTTTTTCTTGAAGCTGCTTGGTTTTGTTTTTTTTTTTAAGATAATTTTGTACCTTTTTGTATCCTGTGCTGTACTGGATTCTGAAGGTATCTATTTATTTACTCATTCATGCCAGGATTGCGGATCCAGCAGCCAGTTAGTGCCTGGCCTCAGGAAGCTTAGAGTAATTAAATAAGTAATTATATTACAGTGTAGTGATCATAATTGATGCGTAAGCCTTGAGGAAGACAAAGAAGGCCAGCAAGGACTTCTGAGTCCTTGCCTTAGAATTTATAGGTCTAGTAGGGGAAGGCAGCTATAAGCTAAGCGTGAATTAAAACAAAACAAAGCCCTGGGATGGTGAGTGGACTAGGAGAAGCACAAACCAAGTGTGAGCATGGATGGGAAGGAGATGTCAGTTTTCTACAAGATACTGGACAGAGAATGTTTAATGGATTAATTGGAAAAGTTGGAGAAGCAAAAGATTTTTGGAGCTAAGAAAATGAAAGATATGTTTATTACTTCCAAATATTAAGTGTTAATCTCTTTCAGTTCCATTCACAATTGGAAGTCAGTTTCTCCACAGGGTGATGATTGTAGAACTTGTTGTCTAAGGCATGGTAGCCAGACACAGAAGCTTCTGTCTTTGCAGAGTGTGTGTTTGTAGGTACTGCCTTGTCCCTCTTCCTGCTCTATACCTCCCCCCACTTAAAAACAACAGCAACCTCTTTTTTTAATGTTTCATGCATGTGAATGTATGAAATTATATTCATTGAACTTTAAGGGAAGACATCCTGTGCAAGTTAATCATTAGAACAATGATTCTCCAATTGTTGCTTCAGACACTTTTATAGAAAGAGCAACAATTTGGAAGAGCCCCCTTTTTCCACAATTATGATACTTAGCATGTCTCAGGCAAGAATTAAAATAAACCACAGGTTAGCAACTCATAACACATTATCTTAATCTATTAGGGAAGCTCACTGATTCTTTGAGGTTTAAGAAAGTGATTGTGGTTTAGACTAAAAATAGTACCTGCCAATGATTATAATATAAATCACATGAGAGTGGGGAATCCCTGAAAATATTTTCATTTCTCCCTTTTTAGGCCTTCAGAAATGCCTGTAGCAACATGAAGCAGTTTAGCACAGTGGTTAAGAGTGTAACATCTGGAAAGAGCCTGCCTAAATCTGAACCCCACCTTTAGAACTTACTAGACTTAGGCAAGTCCCTTAACAGTTCTGTGCTTCAGTTTGCCCATCTGTGAAGGGGTAATATAGTACTTCTTGCACAGAAATAAGAATTAAAGTGCCTTAGCATCATGCCTGGCACCAAATATGCATGCACTCATGAAGTATTAGTCATTTTTATAATGATGGTAATTTAGAGTTGCTATTTGGTTGTTAAGCAACTTTTCATTATAACACAAGTTTGGTGGGTAGGATATTTGTTTTATGACAATATAATTCATATGAACTGCCTATTTCTAGGATTAGTTTCTCTTTTTTCTCTCTTTTGTATATTTTTTTCTTCAATAATAGCTACGTTTTAAACATTGGGGCATCTTAGCTCTAGTTGCCAATCTCTGTGACAGAGTATGTTGTGTATGATTTTGTAATGACCCTGGAGTACCATTAAGAATGATTAATGCAACCACAATCTTTAAAGATCTTTTCCCTTTGGGAACTTATCAATTTTTCTAGGCCATGCTTAGCAGCATATTAATCTATCGGATGTTTTGCTCTATGGTAGAGCAGATCTTTGTAAGTGGTCACCTTAGTTTGTATCACCTTAGTTTGTATGTGTTGGTGCTTTTAATGATCGAGGTTATGAATCGTGTGGCAAAACAGAACAGAAATTGACAGATTTTTTTTAAAATATGAAGAATCTAAGGACACTGAGTGTGTTGGAAGGTGTTTATGGACTTAAATATATCTCTGTACGTGGAAATAATGCTTTCTAAGAAATTGATGCTTTCGAATTGTGGTTCTGGAAAAGACTCTTGAGAGTCCCTTGGACTGCAAGGAGATCCAGCCAGTCAGTCCTAAAGGAAATCATCCCTGAATATTCATTGGACAGACTGATGCTGAAGCTGAAGCTCCAGTTCTTCGGCCACCTGATGCAAAGAGCTGATTCATTGGAAAAGACCCTGATGCTGGGAAGAATTGAGGACAGGATTAGAAGCCGGCAACAGAGGATGAGATGGTTGGATAGCATCACTGACTACAATGGATATGAGTTTGAGCAAACTCTGGGAGATGGTAGATGATAGGGAAGCCTGGCATGCTGCAGTCCATGGGGTTACAAAGAGTCGGACACGACTTAGCAACTGAACAACACAACGGCAAGGAAGTAATAGTTGAGAAGAATGATCTGTCTAATCCGGCTATACCAGGAGTTGGCAGTAGAAATTGAATGCAGCTTTTTGAAGATGTACTTCCAAAGCAACTGGATAAACTCACATATGATATAATAAGAGAGCTTTGGTTCAGACTTTGGTTGCATTTAGATTACAGTTTTTATTATAGAACCTTGTCAGAAAATAGAGACAACCTATTTCTTCCTAGAGAGAGTGCTGAAAAGGATTGCCTTAAGATTTCTATGAGCACAATATTTTGATTTGTCTTTTTGATCTGTCTTCTACAAGCTGCAACTTTCTCAACTCTGAGCACTTTTATGCTGATTCTGTGGTTTCCAATTAAACTTCAAAGGAAGCTGTACAGGCTGTAAAGGAAGTTTGGTTAGGCAAGGTGTGGCTGAAAAACCCAGGAACTCCTCCGCTTGCCTACAAAACATTCTTGCAGGATACAGAATCTTAAAGATGAAATATAAGGCTCTTAGGAGAAAGA